TTGACTCTAATAAGGGACTTCCTAAGGAAAATTCTCCCTCGTTATAGATAGAATCCTCTCCCGATCCTGAAATACAGCATCTTTTCCTTGACATCACAGGTCTGAGATGTTCATGACTTGCTGACTCATACCCTCCTTGCAGCCCAAGCACCCTTTTCCAAAGAAGCAAATGTTGATGACTGTTACCAGTATATACCCTTCTCTCCCTGTATCCACAGCGTTAAATCAAGTGCCTGGCTTACAGAATGTACTAAGTTACTCTTTGTCAGATGAAGTTATGAATGATTATGCTCAGAAAACAACTTCTGTTTACTAGCTTTTATAGTATATACTTAATGGATTCTAATTTGTCTCTTCATTTCCTGGCTGCTGATACCAAGAGTGTTGATTGTGGAGCCAAGTAAACTAAAACTGATAACAATCTCAATCTCATCACCATCCATAATAATGCTACCAGCTGGCCCAGTGGTGAGAATCTTTTTTTGATGTTGTGCTTCAATCCATATTGAAGGCTGCTGTTCTTGACCTTCTGTCTTGACCCTTTCCCATCTTCAAAGCCATGTGCATCTCGTGTGTTTACCTGTGTGCCCTCCTTGTAGACTGGATCACATTTCTTCTCAAACTTTAAGAACTCTGCTTCTCTTTTTCTTTCTTTCTGTTCTGTCTTCACCTGGCATGTCCCTTCAGTGTGTGCTTGTGCTCAGAGCTCCTCCACCTTCCTTCTGCTTCCTTTCCGCATACACTTGTCAACCACTGTGAGTCACACAGACATGCTGTGAAAGAATCATTTACAAGGAATGCCGCCACTTCGCTGTCACACTCACTCCTCAACTTCCTTTTTTGTCTGAGTAGCATTTTTCAGCTTCTTTTGCAGAAATGTCTTTTCCCAGCTTCTCAGAATACATCCCAGTGAATTCCATTTTCTTCTGTGACTTTGCACATGTTTTTAATCTCTGCCTGGAACATCCTTCTGTTTTTATCCTCTAGTACTTTTCTTCAAGCTGGAGACAGCTCTCACTTCTTACATGTCACGCTACCTAAGCCAGCAGAATGAGTTGTCACCCTTTTCATTTTTTTGTGTCAGCCCGTGCTTCCTTTTGCTCTTCTGCTATGTCTCTAATTTTCACAGCAACTGTTTGCTGACAAGTACTATTATTATCCTAATTTTACAGTTGAGGATACTGAGAAACAGAAGCATTAATTTGTCCAAAGTTTGAGAACTTCTAGGTGGGAAAATCCAGGTTGGAATATAGACTGAACCCTAGAGCTGAATTTACTCCCCAGGGTCTACTTCTTAGCCTCTGAAGTTGTTAAATAAATAAGTGGTACCTCTTGACGCTTTCTTTTGTAGCAAATTATACTACTAGCTAGCTGGAAGGCAGCGTGGCTCTAGGGATTTCAGTCCCTTAGTAATAGCTCAGGAGGAGAAAGATAGGCGGTCTCCTCCCCTTAGGATTTACAGGATCGCTAGGAATTTACTCGAAGCAGTGCATTTGAGTTAATTTCTTTGAGTTGTGCTGGGTTTGTTGATTTGGGTGGGTGGGTTTTTGGAGGGTGGGTTTTTTTCCTTAAAGACTGCTTACAAGCAATACAAGTTTAAATTTCATAGTATTTCATGGGATTCTCAGGGGAAAGGACAGGTAAATGACAATGATAACAACCTACTTTAAAACATAAAAAGCAGGGGAGCTCTGGTGGCCTAGTGGCAAGAAGCTGCACTGCAATCCCAGAGGTGCATGGTTCGAATCCACCAGATGCTCTGCCGGGAAAGGAGGGACAATCTCCTCCTGTACCAGTCAGATCTGATTTGACGGTACACAGACACACAAAATAATAAAAATTGGAAAAAAAAAACATAAAAAGCTCTTTGGTATCCATCTTCTTATTTCATGCACCATGAACTCTCATTGTTTTTTTTTCTTTACACACACAGAATCTGAGGCTGCTATAATAAGCACCAAGATCCCCAACTTTATCATTTGCTTCTGGAATTTTCACCCACAGATTTGACCCAATATCAATGATTACATTGGAAATATGGAGGTTTCTTTAAGGGAAAAGCAACTAGGAGAGCTATATGCACATCTTTTTGACATAGATTTGTAATAGATATAGCACTGATTTATAGAACGAAACGGCAACACTCAAGCATGTCATTACTTGAGCTCATGAGCACACACCCTGTTCTTGGTATTTTCAAAGCAGCTAGCCACTATACTTATACTCAGCATCTCCTAGAAACATATTCTGTGGCTCCGTCTTGTATTGGGTAAGGAAACCTTTTTTAATGCATTCCCTACTCAGTTGTTAAAAGGAACCCTGGTGCAAGAGTCCATAAATGAATTTCAGTGAATTCTCTCAGAATTTTATTCAGAAATATACATGCCACTGTATTTAAATTTCATCATGTATTCCAAATGAAAACACTTGGTTTTGGAGGGGTTTTTTTTTCATTGTATACTTTCTTTTTTTCCTTTTTTGAAGAAAATATTTATAACTATCAAAAGGTTTCCAAAGGCATAATTAAGAACTATGATTTTTTATGATCATTTTAATGATGGAAATTTTTCTGTTCATCTGAAAACCAAGCGTAATTAGAAATCTGGTTCCTTTCTTCCACCACAACCATATTTTCCCTTCCACATCATGTGTGTAAAATGTCAAATGTAAAAATGGTTAAGCATTTGATTGCTTGCTACTCAAAAGACGTTTCCATATCGTCCTTTTCATTTAGCTTAAGATACTCTGTGGTAAGGTCAGTTCTCAAAACAGAATTGACTTGAAGACAGATCTTATGACAGCCCAGCTATTGGAGATATGCCTTGAGGACAGTGGTAATCCATTGTAGATTTTTCAAAGATTTTGCATCCAGCATATCTTTGCATTGACCTAATTTTAAAACTCTTTTATTTGCCCTAACAACAGTTAAAAATACAGCAAAATATTCTGAGGCAATAAGTCAGTCAAGAATTGAAATGTAATTTAGCAGAGCTGGGCCATGGCACATGCAGGTACCAATAAAATTTTGAAATGTTATTTATACTTTTTAAAAAGCATAAAAGTGGTATTCAGGAGGAGGACTGTAAATTCTGTTGGATTTCCTTTCTTTAATGATACTCTTTAGTATGTTTACCTTTTCGTTAAGGATATGGGAATGTGGTCTGAGCACTGTGCCATCATCTCTCTGTGTTTTTTTTTAATTTTTTATTATTTTTGTGTGCATGTACCGTCAAATCAGTTCTGACTGGTACAGGAGGAGATTGTCCCTCCTTCCCCGGCAGAGCATCTGGTGGATTTGAACCGTTCGCCTCTGGAATTGTAGTTGCAGCTCCTTGCCACTCTCTCTGTGTTTTAAGGGCTTGACGTTCCTGACCTTGTACATAAGACGGATCCTATTGATCATTATCTGCATAATTTTCATCTCTGTGTAGGGAATCTGTCAGATGGATAATTTTAAATGAAGGCATTAAGCTTGAATACTCCCCTGAGCTATTTTATAGCCTCTCAAACCTTGTTGGAGTCCCAGCTGATGAGTTGTTTTCTGCGCTATGATGTTACGCATCATATCGTAACAACAGTGATGCCAACGTTATGTTTAGAACTGGGTTACACATTGTCTTGTTAACAAGTGGTTAGCAGTCTGTTAATATTTGTGTATGGAAATCTAGTCAGAGCTAAACGGAGCTTTTAGAACTAAGAAGCTGGGATGTTTTCAGTAGGAAACAGAAGTGGGTGGAGCTGGATGGAGCCCCAGCCAGTGGCTCTGTCTCTGGAGAGCTGAGCACCGGGTTCTCTACTCAAGTTGTTGTTTACCTACTCATAGTTGACTCTCCGGTCAGTCTTCTGGGGCTGTGAGAAGTTTGCACGGTGAGAAGATTGCACGTTGGTCTCCGGGGGGAGCAGCTGGTGAATTGGAACTTTTTGCCCTTGGGTACTTTACCTCTCTAGCCCAAATGGCTTCTTAAGGTGGAATCTCGCCCCTAGGGACAGATTCTCCACTTCCCCATTGGTTTATAGGGCTCCTCTCCCGTCGCCATTAAAGAGGCCTCACCTTAACACGTTGCGGCACACTTTTAAATTGAGCCCGTGCTTAGAAACGCTTAGAAACACATTTATAGCCGACATTTGTAGCAACGTATTAAGGAATCGGCCTGTAATCGTAATAAAGCACACGTTGGGGCCCTGCACACCTCACTGAGCCAAGTGGCTAGGATGAGGGAAACCAACACGTTTTAGATTCTTAAAAAGGAACTCTTCAAGACTCATAAAAAGGAGAACTCTTAGTGTAAGGTGTGTGTGTGAGTGTGTAAGAGAGAGAGAAAGAGCGAGCGAGCGCGTGCGCACGATCTAAAAGCAGGATCATCAGATGGACTTGGTGTGTGAGGGGCCGAGAGGTTAGAACCACTTTCTGGCACAGCGCCCAGGACGCAGCAGTCCTGCCTGTGACAGCCCGAGGGAGCAGAACTCCCGGCTCTGGGACCGAATACCAGGACAGGACGGCAGAAACCCCAGCACGGGGATCCAGTACCGAGAAGGTGTTGGGGGAGCAATTTTAGTTCTAGTGCAGGAAAGGCGCTCAGAGATGGGTGCGCCCTGGGCCTCACTCGGGGTGGAGGGCTGGCAGGAACTGGGGTGGGGGGGATGATAGCGCTTCCTGCTGGGTAGCGGCTGTGAGTGAGGCCGGGTGCCCCCCTCCCGTGGCCACATCACATGGAAGGTCCTGTCGCCATGGAGCGGGGTTGGGCGGTGGCCAAGGGGCTTGAGACAAGCTATGGGCTCACGGTTCCTCTGCCCCTGGAGGGAGGCGCAGAGGGAGAGGAGGGGACCGGCCAGTCACTGCCGCTTGGACTGGACCCAAGGGGCGGGCAGAGGGCGGGGCGGGCCTTGCACATTTGTCACGGCCACGGCCCCTGGCAGCGTGCACAAGCGGGGAGGGCGCACAGACCGCGAGGGCGCACAGACCGCGAGGACGCACAGACCGCGAGCACCACGAGCCAGGCATGGATCTAGCTGCGGAGAGGCTGGCACAGGCGGCCGCGCAGGGCCGCACCAGGGAGGTGAGGTTGCTGCTCCAGGTTGGGGTGCCCCCAAACGTGCCCAACCGCTTCGGCCGCTGCCCGATCCAGGTAGGAGGCGAGACAGGGGGCCCGATGGTTCCTCGGGAGGTGGTGGTTGGATTCTCAAGAAAAAAGGGAGATTCCCCGAGTGTTTTCAGACGGGCGTTGTTTGGGATTGGAGATCGGCGGAGATGCCCTAAGGGGGAGGAAGACTGGTTGGGGCGCACATTTCTTGAATGGTGTGTCCGCCTGGAGGGCGGGCGAGCATGTGTGTGCTAGTACAGACCCAGATAGATCCTTTTATCAGGGAGCCGGAGCTAAATCCTTGGGGAAGTGTCTGGCTAATCCACGAGGTGCAGGACTAATCCTAGGGCAGGGCCTTCGAATCTGCGGGGTAGCGTGGGGGTGGGGGTGAAGGTGAACTATATTTTCTGATCGATTTACAGCTTCGGAAACCCGCCGAGGGTCAGCAAGGGGTTTGGCTCCCTCCGGGTGGCTGTGGGCGAGAGGAGAGGGGGCCTACTCTATCAGCTGGAGAATCTGCAAGTTTTTGCCAGGAGGTTAAAGAAATGTCGGCTTCTTAAATCTGGGTGGCTCCCACGCCACAGGGACTTAGCTGGAAAGATACTGCCATGTTTGTTAGGACAAAGAGCGATTGAGATGATTCAGAAACGATTCTGAAGTGTGTGTATTTTCATTTAACTAAGAACAGATGCAGTCTTGTGAAAAAGTACATCTAAGTAGAGACATGTCTGTAAATAGCTCAAGACGAACAAACCAGGTTTGAAAAAAAATTCTTGTCATCTCTCCAGAAACAGCATTTCCCATATAATGACAGTCTGGACGGTATTTCTTTTTTTTTTTCCTTTTCTACTTTTACTCATTTGATGTGGTTAAATTAATTTTTTTAAATAGAAACTTTGTTAAAATTCATAAAAGAAGTAAAATTTTCTAAAAATGTAAAAGAAAAATTAGAAACTTTGATAGATTTTTTAAAAAACCACAAACGCACCACCTGGTACGTGATACAGAATGGTAATGGAGTTAAGTGAATTGGGGACAGGGATTTCAGTGCTTCTCTGGAAAGTTCTGCTGTGCTGCCCTCCCTGCCCCCGCCCCCTCCATCTGTGAGGTGGCTGGCCAGGCAGGGGAGCTTCATTCGCCATGTCCTTTGCCTTTACTAACTTCCTGAATCTCAGACTAAAAACGAAATCTTCCTTGAAAACATTAGCCTAAGTTTATTTCAAGTGGTAACAGTGAGTACTGGTTCTGGGAAAGAAAATTAGTATGAAACAAATGCCGTTACCAGAACTCCTGAAGACAAAGGAAAGGAACTCTGCTTTTGATTTTAGGAACTCAAATTCTGACTTTACAAAGAATCCTCCTTTTTTGGATCTGCGTCACTGTCATGGGTCGTATTGTGAAGCATCAGTGTCCAGGCAGGGCCCCACTTGCCTTTCTTGTTAGAGGCATACCCACCAGTCCCCCTAAATTGTTATTTGCTGTGGAGTTGTGACTCACTCAGAGCCGACCCTCCAGAGGATTTTGGAGATTGTTAATCACACTAGAGAAGATTGCCCATCTTTCTCCCACAGAGCACCCGATGGATTTGCACACCTTCGAGCTGACATTTACCACGAGGGCACCAGTTATGTACTTTAAAAATACAGGTAGAAAAAATAAAAACTTGAATTCTAGAAGGATACCTGAGATGAAGTTAGAGTTGCACATCAAAACTTTTAACTCCCCCCCACAAAAAAAAAAAAAAACAAAAACAAAAAAATTTAAACTCCCAGTAGTGGAACTGCTGGGCCAAATTGTATTTCTATGTGTAACTTTTTGAGAAAGTGCCATATAGCCCGGGGTATATTCACATAATGGAATACTATGCAGCATTGGAAAGCAAAGAACTCATGAAATGTTACACAAAATGGATGACCCTGGAGGACATTATGCTGAGTGAAATATCTCAGTCACAAAAAAAGATAAATATGGCATAATGCCACCGTTATAAAAGAGGACTGACATGATTAGATATTATTGTTATGACAGGAGTCCAGAACAAGGTAGCATAGTGGAGTGTACTTGGGGGAAGGGATTGAATAACAAAGAATTTTTTTCTTTTACTTTAAAAAAAAACTAATTGGGGGGAGGGGTGGGCAGGGAGAAAAGTGCAGCAGTGAATGAATGGAAATCCAAAGTCTCTAAACTTTCATGAAAATAAATTTAAAATTAAAAACATAAATTTAAAACGAACAAAAACCAAAAAAAGCCTTTAACTCCCTAGAAGTTTCCCAGCAGCCTGATGACTCTGAGCCTGGCCTGGTGTCCTAGAATATGTTAGGGGAGATCTCGTCTGTTTAGATAGTAAAATATAAAAGGAAGTGACATTGTTAGACTTCCTAGTCTGTTAATAAAGGTATAAGAACAGAGAGAAAAGGGCAAAATGCCTTTAGTTTAGAACTTCGACCAAATTGCTTTTTCATTTATAACATTTATTTTTAAAATTAGGGTTTTTTGGGTGTTTTTTTTTTATAATTTGAGAGAAAGTTTGCAAATCATACTGGATTTTATTCAGTCTCATATGCATTCTGGGGGGTGTGTGACAATCACAGTGTTTGGTTAAGCTCTTATTGTACACTTTATTGAAAAAATTTCTTTTGAAACAATTAGATTATGGTTGATTTCTTATCAAAGGGACTTTACTCCCCCACTGTCATCAAGTAACTTCTGGTTTTTAGTGACCCCTTGGGATAGAGTAGAACCCACCCCCTAGGGTATCGCAGCTCTAAATCTGTATCAGAAAAGCAGACTGCTTTCCCTTTCACCACATGGGGGGCTGATGGCTCTGAATTACCAGCCTTTTGATTAGCAGTCCCACAGTTTAACTACCGCACCCCAGGGCTCCTAAACGATCTTAAGCACCCTGCAAATATTAGTTTAATAAGTTTGTTTTATGTTGCTGTTACAATTGAAATGCCTCATTACCTGAAAGCAGTCGGGACTCTGACCGGGTGTGAAGTTCTGTTCATGGTAGAGAAGCAACTCAGAACAGAAAGGTGAGAATAGTTATAGAGCCCAGAAGATGTAACCAGTGTTACTAAATGGTGCCTCGTGGAAACTTCTGAAATAGTGTATGTTTTGTTGGGCATTTTCTCAACAACAATAAAATAAATACCATTTAGAAAAATGGAAGTTATGAAAGGAAATATATCATGAGCAATTGTTATTAAGCCAAAAATTACACATTGGTTTAAAACCCCACCTTCCAAAAAAACTAATCAAGATCTCATCAAATTTTCCTTGTCAAAGGTGGGGGGGGAGTGTGTTGTCTCGCTTGTGCTGATTTATATTGAATGCTTTCAATATAAATCAGCACAAGCGAGACAACAGAAGTAACTTTATAAACCAATGAGCAAAGGATGTGCTATTCAAAGAAGAGAAAATGTTTAGCTCATGTCATACACAGAACCCAAATTCAGGGTAGATTAAAAACCCATCTTTACAAACATATAAGACAAAACTTATACATTCTTGAAAGAGAAGTGGTTGTTAAGTGCCATCGAGCTAGCTAGGACTCATCATTATTCTGGGAACAACAGATCTGAACCTTGCCCTATTCTCACCATTCTCTAGATAGAGCTCTGTCACATTCAAGCCAGGCTATCTCCTGGAGGATCTTCCTCTTGTTGCTACCCTCTGACTTTCCCAGCACGATGTCTTGGAGGACTGGTTCTTCCAGAAAATATACCCAAAGTAAAAAAAAAAAGGACCTTATTTGACTATCCTTGCCCCCAAGGAGTGCACTCTTCTGGCTGCATATCTTTTAGGACAGATATGTTTGTTCTTTTGGTAGTCAGTGGGATAGTCAATACTCTTCGCCTCATCACCACCACAATTCAAAGGAATTGTTTTTTCTTTGGTCTTCATTATTCATTATTCAACTTTCTGATGCACAGAAAAAAAATTGAAAATACTAAGCCTTGACCCAGGCACACCTTAGGCTTTAAACTGACTTTCTTGCTCTTTAGAACTTTGGAGGGATCCTTGAAGCAAATTTCTGCAGTGCATTCTGCCTTTTGGTATCTTGGCTGCTGCCACCATGGGTGTTCATGGTGGGGAAGAGAATGATGTATGTAACCTGATGGTGGGAAAGAATTTCCTTAGAAAGAAAAAAAAAAGAAGGAAGTAGAAAGGAAACAGTCTAGCTATTTGATTGTAAGGGCTTCCTTGAAACTATGTAGCCACAACTTTGAACAGGCTGATCTTCCTTGATCTTAAGACCAAAAAAGGGATTTTTTTTTTTTATATGCAGCTCAAAACTATTGTTGTTGATTGCCTTGGAGTCAATCACAACTCATAGCAACCCTATGGACAGAAGGCCTGAAGCCCCTCTACAACTGTTGGCATTTATCAAAGTTCAGAGTTTCTGGAGGCATGTTGTTTAGGAAGTAGTTCCCACTCCTGCTTCCAAACCTGTCATAGTATGTTATTGTTGTTATGTACCATTAGGACACCTGTGGTGTTTAGGGACCCTATGTACAGCAGCTCTGAACCCTTCCCTGTCTTTGCAATTATTTGCTGTTCATCAGATAGCTGGACAATGTCTAGGGATGGTAGAAGGAGAATTGATGCCTTTGAGCTGTTGTGCTGGAAAAGAGTATTGAATGTACCATGCACTGCTAGGAGAACAAATAAGTTCATCCTAGAGAGGGTGAAACCAGGCTGTTCCTTGGAGGTAAGGATTCTGAAGCTTTGTCTGACATATTATGGACATTTTGGAAGGAGGTACTAAGTGGAGAAGGATGTCATGTTTGGGAAGGTGGAGGGACAGCACAAAAGAAGACAACCCTGTTTGAGATGGACTGATTCAGTGACTAGGATAATGGGGGTAGCTGTGTCAGAGACAATAAGGTTGGCTCAGGATAGAGCAGGGTTCAGGGATGTTGTACATAGAGTCGTTATAAGTCGCAGGCGACTCAAGCACATAACAAGAACTCAATATATAGACAAGTGTTTAATGTATTACAAATTGTCCTCATTCATTTTAATTGTGAACATTATACAAGAACTCAATATATAGACAAGTGTTTAATGTATTACAGATTGTCCTCATTCATTTTAATTGTGAACATTACTTTAAAAAAACTGGTTGCTTTCCAGCTTTTCTCAATTTCCTGCAAGTGATTGGTGGAACAAAATGGAAAAGAAGGTATAGAATTGGGAGGGGCAATGACTTTTCTATTAAAGACAGAGTAATCAGAAACCAGTGGCTTTATGCGGCTTGCATTGGGTTGTGGTCCTGGTGCCAGGGATCTGGGTTTCGTGAGTAAGTATCTATTTACATTAACCTTGACCAATATAAAGAGCCTTGACGACTCTGCTGTCCCCCAGGTCATGATGTTTGGCAACACCCAGGTGGCCGAGCTCCTCCTGAGCTATGGCGCAGAGCCCAACCTCGCAGACCCCGTCACGCTAACCCGGCCGGTGCACGACGCGGCCAGGGAGGGATTCCTGGACACGTTAATGGTGCTGCATCGCAACGGGGCACGGCTGGACGTTCGCGATATGTGGGGTCGCCTCCCCGTGGACCTGGCTGAGCAACAGGGCCACAGAGACATCGTCCACTACCTGCGTGTGGCCTTGGACGCTGATGGAGGTGACTGCATTCAATTAGATGATGCTTCAGATGGTCCCGTAGGGGAGGGTAGAGGCCCCAAACTTGAACCCTGAGCGGTCAAGGCGCCCAGCACAACCTCAGGCGAGGAAGGACCGGGGCTGGAATCTCTCCTCAGCTCACACACAGCCAGTCCTGATACGAAATAGCCTCCCCTCAAAGTCGTCCACCTCAGCCATGCACAAGCATACATGAACCACCAGGCTCCCTGCTCCCTGGCACTCAACAGAATCCCCGACAGACACCAGGCTCCTCGAAACTTGAGGGCTAGACTGTGGACCGGTGAAGACTAAGAGAGTAGATAGAGGGGCCCTAGTGTCCTCTACACGTCTCACCGATTCACTAGAGTCTCCGTTTGCATATTTATGTATCACATTTCCAGAGCGTGTCACTAAATGAATCCAAGCTTTCCTGGATTGTGCCGCCAGTCCACAGGTTTGTGTTTGGAACCCACCAGATAGGACTTCCCAGAACACAAGAACGAGTTGGCAGTTTGTTCCCCGGGAGTCTTATGCCTCCCTCCCATAGACTAGCACACCACCACCGCCCAGTGCCATGGCGGTGTGGACGAGAAAGTGAGTGTAGGGAAGAGGTGGTCGTGGGGGGCAGGAGGATACTGATGGGAACATCAGCTGTTTCTAAATGCTAACTTCGATCCATCCAGTGGTTTACATACAGCCAACCCCCAGCGGGAATCGCTCCCGGACCATGAGGGATCGGGATCGAACTGGAGCCTCTGGGTTCCTCACCCTCAGGCTTCCTCCATCTCCTAAATATTACCCAAATAAAACCTGGAGGCCTGCCTGGGGTTCATCCGGAACCCTAGCAGCCTTCCGGACCTTCAAGCACTGCCTCGACTGATTTCCAGGCTTGTAAATGTTCTGAGCTGAATTTCCTGGTGTCCCCAGGACGCAGAGGAGGAGGCGAGGGTTCACGGGGTGGACTGGCCGCAATCCGTGACTGGTCCGTGACCACTAACAGCTTTCCTCCCTTGTATCCCCAGGTGTTAGTGGGCGCAGACGGTGAGACTCCGCCAGAACTGCAGCTCAAGCTTCTGAGTTTTCCAGCCTCCTCAATTGGTTCTTGAATAAATTGTTTTTCTTCGTGCCTCGTGACATGATTTTTGTTTGTTTGGAATTGGGTTTGGTTTTGTTTTGTTTTTTCACACCATAGCTCTCATGTATTTATTGAAAAAGTGGGTGCATAATAACGAAGCACGTACCATGACATAATCTTAACCCGGTTTGGCGGTATGGCTGATTAGCTTGACATGGGGCGACGACGCTAATGAACGGAGACTAATTACCTGCGCTGCCATCACGTGTGCGACCCCTTAGAGACCCAGCGTGGTCTCCAATGTCTTCTCTTGGAGTTGTCCCTGATTTTATTGCCAGTTTTCATTCTAATTCTAACCCATTGAGGAGTGGGCCGGTACTGCTTTTGTTTCTTGGCCAGGAACCTCTTGATCTGAACGTCTTATGAGACGATATAATTAAACAGAACGGAGCCACACAAAAACAATGGTGGAGGAAAAGAAAGAGCACGACTTGTTTTTTTTAAAGTAAACGAAAAGTCCAACAAGTCTGGTTTGGTATGAACACAGTTAACTAGGTCTAGGGGTTTTGTTTGCTTGCTTTGTTTTAGAGCTGAACGGATGGGAATGATATCCTGTCTCCGATGTTCCGACTTTTTTGCTCCTTGGATCCGATAAGTGTGTAACTCAGGCACCACATAGTGGCTCTGGACACGCGGCCCTCTGTGGACACCCAGCCCTCGGGGTTTCTAAGCTCACGGTATTAGCCAAGGACCCTTTTCAACAGTAACAAGTTTGCCATCTTGCTTTCTCTCCCTCACGCACACAACCCAGCACAAGACCCAGTGCCCTGCAGCCCCGCAAGCTTGGATCCAGGATTCTCTCAGCGAAGGTGTTCTGTCTCCAGATTTTGTCATTTTTATTCCTTGTCTTTCCAGGAAGTAGACATTTAGAAAGTAAGGCTAGTAGCATTTTAACTCACATACTTAGTTACAACATTGCATTATGTATTTTTAAAAACTTTTGTTGATACACATCAATCACTCCTATACATCTGATTAGGGGCGTTCTGGTGGCCTAATGGCAAGAAGCTGCAGTCCAGAAGGCACGCAGTTCGAGGCCACCAGCTGCTCCACAGGAGAGGTATGGGCAGTCTCCTTGCCCGTGATTAGCTGCCTCTGAAAACCTGCTAGAGGGTCAGCTATGCATCGGTTCCGACTTCAGGGTACACAGCAAGAACGTCCATCTATTTGTGCATGGCCTTTGCATGTTATCCCATCATTCACAGACATTATATTTTGTATAATTAGTTACTGTTACTCTATCCCCGTCATCACTCTGTCTAGTTAACCCCCCCTTGACCCTTTCCCATGACTTCACCCCCCACTAACCTCCGCTTCCCCAACAATATCTCTCGCCCCTTTTTGGAACTTTTATACATAGGGTTTTCATCAGTTTTTGGTATTTGGTTTTGGGGGGATTCTTGATCCCTACAGTACACGGCCAGTGCTGTCTTAGTCTGTCTGGAAGTTCTACAGAAACCCGTTCGAAAATCATAGCAACCAAAGCAGCAAATGGACGAAAACTCCGGGTCCCTCGGCGCAGAGGAGGAGGATGGGTGGGGATGGGGTGGGGGAGGGGCGGGGGAGAAGGGCCCCGAGGAGGGGTGGAGCCAGTGCCCCGTGACTCCGATCCCCGCCCCATCCCCTGTCCCCAAGGCTCTTGCCGCCTGCCCCTCCCCCACCCCAACCGCGCGCCCCGCCCCCCTTCTCCTTCCAGCAAGTTCCCTGCCCCCTGCTATGCCTCCCAGGGGCCCTCCTGGCCCCAGGCTCTCTGTCCTCGCGCCCCCCTGGCCTCCTTGCGCCATCTCCCCCAGCGCCTTGTTCCACTCCCCCAGCCTCCCTCCCAGCCCCGCTGAATCCTTTTGCCCCAGACCTCCTGCCCCCTGTACCCCTGGGCCTCCGTGCCTCCCGCGTCCCACTGCGTCCCGCGCCCCACCGCGCCCCGCGCCCAGGAAGGCGCAGGCTGGGGCTTTCCGGACCATCAGAAGAAACTCCGCAAAAGGGGCTCAAAACCGCCAGAACGCATCGGTCCAAGCGCGCGCGCGGCCTGGAAGCGCGCGGAGCTCCTCCTGGTAGACCCCGGCGTGTGACCCGCTCCGCTGCGCTCCCCGACCCGCTGCGCTCCCCGACCCGCTGCGCTCCCCGACCCGCTGCGTTCCCCGGCCGATGGGGCCTGTTCGGCCCACTCCCATGCCCCCGCCGCGGGAAGGGGCCGGAAAAGGTGGGCCACGACGCCGGAGACCGGTCCTCTGCCGTAGTGGGAAACCGAAAGCAAATGATTGAAAAGCAGTACACTTAAAAAAAAAAATCCCTCTTTCCAACTGTGGGTCTGAAGCTGGGAGCTTTACACTGAGGACAAGTGTTAACCCAGCCAGTTAACAGAAGAGGCAGCTAGCAAAGAGGAAATGATTTCCAAGTTACAGTGTTTTGTGAGAAAGGAGACGGTATGCAAAACACAGTAGATGAAGTTTTAAAATCTTTGCATGCTTGTAAGGGCAAGACAGCTGTCCGTTCTTCTGGAGGGCGGTGAGGAGAATGCTTGGGCACACGCGGCTTATTTATTTTGTCTGGAATGTGCTTTGCTTCCATCTTTTAAAAATATGGTTTTGAATTATCTAACACAAATGAAATAACCAAAAAATAAGTCAGACATTGGTTCAAGGCAGTGTTTTTCCAGAACTGATCGCATGGTGACACAGGAACAGGAAGAAGCAAGCCTACACCAAAGGTCAGTTTGTCCTTGCACTAAGCCTCGCTTTCTTTGTAAAATGGGCACAGGAGTGATTATTGTGCAGGACTTCTGTTTGGATTATATCATAGCGGGGAGATAGCTGAGTCTCTCTTTCTATCTCTCTCTCCATTAACGTATTCCAAGGGTATAGATTTCATGAAACTGCCAGAAACATAATTTCAGGTTATCCTGATGTTCCTCCCTGTCAGTTGCCTTCTTTATCTCTTCTTAAGGAATGGATACATTGGAAGCAATGTAAAGGAGGGCAAGGATTAGTTTTAATAAATACTTCCTATGGAAGTGCCATTAATTGGAGGTTCTGCTAGTCTGCAGAGAACAACCAAAAATGTAAGTTAGTGTAAGAAAGGCAATGGATTTATGATTACTCATGCTAGTAATATTATATCTTGGGATAGAGGAGGAATGGTGGAACCGTATTCGCGTTTACAGTATTTTTCTTGCTCAAAACATTTATGGAAAATATAAACTGCATTGAGACATATATCTATTTAGACTGGAAATTGTTCACACTATCATATTAGCAATGTTACTAGCCCTGAATTTAAAACAGATGAAACCATTTCTATTTAAGTCTATGTGTGCTTCATTACTTTATGTATTTTTGAAAGGTTCAACTTAATGGGAGTCTACATATTTAACATATTTTTTAAATTGTTCTCTGTATACTTTTTAAAAAATTATTAGGGCTTTCCAGTTTCTCCAAAGCAGTTGCTAGACCAAGGCTGAGCTTGGAGCCTGAAGAATTGAAGCATCCCCAGTGCCATCTTGTCACCAAGGCAAGGTTTAGCATTTCTGTTCAGTTTGATCCCCCTTGGACTTGATTAACTAGACAAACATTATTTGGCAGGGAGGAAGGTCGTGGAGAGATTGCTGAGGGGAGGGGAAAGTGGCTTTTAAAAAAAATATGAGACAGTTAATAAATAAAATGCATTTAAATTCAAACCATGAAAGACAAAATCATTGTTTCCCTCATTGCCATTTCCCATCCCACCTCTCTCACCAGAGGTAACTCAGCAACTTTAGAAGACTAGCTCAAGTGACAATTTCATTTGATGCATAGGTAGGTATTCTTTCCTCCTTAAATAGAATCTTACACATTTATAGACTCCACTGCTCTGTAACTAAATCTCCCATGAGTCTTGAAGATGTTTGTCAAGTTAGAAACATTTTCCCATTTTCTTTTTAATAATTCCTATTAATGACAAGTTGTGTAATCATTTATTTAATTGATGGGTAGTTATTTTGGATTTTTTTTTGGTATAAAATACCTTAAATAATATTGTTAAATAAAGTGGCAGGGAAAAAACCCCACATTATTATCTGTGTTCATCTTTTTTTTTCAGAGTTTAATTTTTTTAATGCAACATATGTATTTTTTACAGCATATTCTTCCCATTTAATTTCCCCCCATTCATTCATTGTTGCTCATTTTCCTCGCTACCCGCCCCTGCCCCCCCATGTGTTCATTTTTTTCATACGTATTTGTCTTTTCTTTCTTCTCTGAGGTTACTAATGCAGGATAATATGTTATATTGTTTCTGCTACTCTTGTTTGAATTCTTACTCTGCCTATAGTATTTTTCATCATAAAGAACTTTAACTTTTTTTATGTAGACAAACGTATCAATCTTTTCAAAAGTCTTGACTTTGCTGTTTAAGATCTTCTCCTTACCCTAGTTGTCTGCAGCCTCCAGGTATAGTCCAGCTTATGCTCAGGGTGAACCTTCAACTCCAAATGCGCCCTGATTGGCAAACTATACGTCTACACTCAGAAGATGATACACATATTACTGTTATTTTCTTTTTAGCTATAGATCTTTTATCCACTGGAAATATATTCTGTATGTTATCTTAATATGAAGAGTTCAAAGAATGACCCCTTTTGAGCATGTGTGAATTTTGTGAACCTGCAGGGCAGACTGTCCATGTTCATCCAATGTAATAATTTGATTCCTTTAAAGTAGAATTTTCCTATGTGGGTAGCAGAAAATGAGAAGAGATTTAGAGTACTAGACGAATTCATTGTTGTCTCAGCAGAGAAAATGGCAGGTGTCACATGTGAAGAAATATAGGTCATGAGAAGATGGAGGCTTCTGGCTGACAGCCAGGAAAAAAAAAACTAAACCAAAAAACACAACAAACCACCAACCAAACAAAAAAAACCACACCCCGAGCCTCAGTCCAAAGGATGACTTCAGACCTGCAGTCACAAGTAACTGGGTTCTGCTAGCAACCTCGGTATACTTGGAAGAAGATTCTTTTCCAGTGCATCCAGAGAAGATCCCAGCAGCCTAAACTCTTGGTTCTGGTTGGTGAGACTGAACAAGAACCCCAGGACTTCTGACCCCCAGAAAGGTGAGATTAAAAATGAGCTCACTCCTTCCCCAGGTTGCAAAAATCTAACATTCAGGAAGCAAGTATTTGCCTCCTCCTTGGCATCACTTGGGGTGGTCTCAGTAAACCTGTAACATCACCTGCCCCATGGACTCCCTCTGCTACCAGACCTAAGTCATGTTTATTATCGGTTGTAGTCATTGAGTAAGATATAGTACATGTAATGTAGTAGGTTTAAGTGTAATCTTCCTTAGGTTATTTGAACACTAAAAACACAATTGTGGTTTTTACAAATCATACTGCATTTTCATTTTGTCATTCATAGACATTTTTGCTTTGTAGCATTGATTGCAATTTATTCATGTAATTATTTCTAATCAAATCTTTAACAATACAACTATTTGTTAAAATCTTTCCACACTGAATTATAACATTAGTAATTGCAATATTATTACTGAGTGAAAGCCCCCTTTTTTTCAGTAGAGATGATTCTATTTTATTGCTGCTCTTTATTATTTTTTATATTTTCCCATTAATTCATTGTTGCACACATTTATTCCTTTTTTATTTGAGTGAAAGCTTACAAAGCATTTGGTTAATTCAATCATGTCTATATATTTTGTTTTATAACATTAATTACAGTTGATTGATGCAATTAAGTAATTACAATCTGTGATCAGCCCTTGTTATTATAAATTTCCTTTTTTATTACCCAACTTATCTATTCATTAATTGTTTTTATTATTTTTTCATTTAAAGTCCCTCTCTTCCTATTCCTGAGCCTATAGTAGTAGCCTTATACTATCATAGTCCTTCTATGACTGACATATGTTGTTAGGTGAAATTCCTTCTAGATTCGTCCATGTTTTGCACTGTATTACAAATTCTGTCATTCTTTAGTGTTGCATAACACTTCTTTGTGTGAATGCACTTTATTTTCTTTAACCATTTGTCTGTTGTTGAATACTTCAGTTGCTTATACCTCTTTGCTCTTATAAATATTGCTGCAGTGAACACAGTTGTACACCTGTTTATTTCACAGATCTTATTTTTGTGGATATATTCCTGGCACTGAGATTAATGGACCAAATGATATTTTCTGTTTCCAACTTGAAAGTAATTTTTAATTTTTCTCCTTTCCCTTTAATTACTACTTCATTCTAAAAAAAAGTTACTGACATAGATTCACACATACTACTTAGCACAATCTTGTAGCTAACACACAGGAAGATTTGACAAAATCAGGCTCTATAAAAAACACTGTTGTTTACTATTGAGTTGGAACCAACCCAGAGTTGACCCTCCAGCTAGTCTTCAGAAGCACTTAATTGAACAGGAGGAGATGGCCGTGGAGCAGATGGTGAATTCGAACCATGTGCCTTCAGGATTGCAGTGCAGCTTCTTACTACTAGACCACCAGAGCTCCATAAAAACACTAGCAGTAACAAAATGTGTTTGTTTGTTTGTTTGTTTGTTTTTAAAAATAGCTTATGCTCTTAGCACATGAAGGCAAAGCCACATGGTTCAAAACATAATTGACTCTCTGACCAAAGGACATTAATATTGTTGGTAGGTGCCATTAGTTGACTATGACTCATCGTGAGTCTATGAACAATAGATCTGAAGCTTGCCTATTCCATGCCATCCTCAAGATCCTGCACCATCCTCAGGATTTCTCATAGTGTCTTTTGTGACAGTCACTATGTCAGTCTGACTTGTTGAGGGTCTTCTCTTTCTCTGACCTTCCACCTTCCCCAGAATAATATATTTTGCATGGACTATTCCCTCCAAACAATATGCCCAAAGTATGAGAGACAAAATTTCATCATCCTTCTTTCTCAATAAGACCCTATTTACACTTTTCTCCAACACAGACTTGGCTTTGGGATTCCATGGAATATTCCATATTCTTTTCCAACACCACAATTCAAAGGCATCAGTTCTTTGCCAGTGTTCCATATTCATTGTCTGACTTTCAGACGCACAGGTAGCAACTGAAAACACCATGACTTGAGCAGGCGAACCTTAGTCTTTAAAACTCTATCATTGCTCTTCAGTCCTTTCAAGAAGTTCTTAACAACAGACTTTCCCAATTCAAAATGACTTTTTATTTCATCACTGCTGTTTACCATGGTGTTTCTAATAGTTTCAGGTAAAATAAAGTCACTGACAGCATTCGTCTTCTCTCCATAAACCATGATTTGCCTATTGGTCTAGGAGTACAGAATTATATTAATGTTGAGATGCAATTCATGTTGAAGGTATATTTCTACTGAAGATGTAATTTTTTAATCTTCAATGACAAGTGCTTCAGACTCTCTTTATTTTCAGCAAAAAAAGATGTGTCATCTGGATAATGCAGGTTGCTGGGAAGTCTTCCTCCAATCCTGATGCCACATTCTTCACAGAGTCCAGCTTCTTGAATGATTTGGTCAGCATACAGATTGATTAGGTATGGAGAAATAATACAATCCTGACTCACACCTATCCTGATTTTAAGTTCTCTTGTTCTATTCAGACAACTGCTTTATGTTCTATGGTAGAGTGTTCACACAACCACAATTAAGTGTTCTGAGATTCACATTCTTCTCAATGTCACCCATACTTTGTTATGATCATAACTTTGTTATGATTCGTTATGTCAAATGTCTTTACATAGTTAATAAAACACAAATAAACATCTTTCTGGTATTCTTTGCTTTCAACCAAGATCCATCTGACATTAGCAATGATATTGCTGTTCTGTGACAATGTCTGAATCCAGCTTGAATTCCTAGCAGTTTTCTGTTGATGTACTGTTCCAGCTGTTTTTGAATAATCTTCAGCAATATTTTACTTGCATGTGGTATTAATGATATTGCTTGGTAATTTCCACATTCTGTTGGATCACTGTTTTTTTCCTGTGCTTTTAAAAAAATAATTTTATATTTGTTTGCATACAAAATTTGTATACTTTGTGTTTGGTTTATTACTCTATTCATATTGTGTTTCATAGTATCATTCTCATATATTATGTTTTATAAAATTAATCACCTTTGATCCATGACCACCATCACTCTAAATTTCATGTCCCCACTGGATCTATCCTATTTTCTTCAACCCCTCACTCATAACTCAAACTCACATAACACCCCCTTTCCACTTTCAGCCCCCTCCTTCCTCCCAACTTCCCTAGAACTTTTGTATACATTTTACTAGTAATCCTTCTATTTTTACAATAATGGTTTTATATACTATTTGTCTTTCTGAGACTTAGTGAACTCACTTAGCATGATGCTTTTCAATCTTTCCCATGTTATAAAGTATTTTTAAGTATTTTTGCTCCTGAGTGCGGCATAGTAATCCATTGTGTGACTGTACCCACTTGTGCAATCCATTCGTTTGTTGATGGACATTTTGACTGTCTCGAATCACTTTTTTAAAAAAAATGAGAACACATATAAATCTCATTCAATTATCAGGTCAAGGAGCTATCATCCAAATTTCTTGGCATAGACCAGTGAGTATGTCCAGGGCTACATCTATTTGTTGAAATACATCAGTTAGTATTCCATCACAGTGCCTTCAGTGCAGCTTGAACTTCCTCCATCAGTACCACTGACACTTGAACATTTGCTACTTCCTGAAACTGTTCTGTGTTGACTAATTAATTTTGATGCACTGATTCTGTGTATTCCTTCCATGTTCTTTTGATGCTTTCTGCATCATTCAAGATTGTGTACATAGAATCCCTTGCTGGTCAGTTCTTTCAGCTTTAAAAATGCCAAAAATGTTCTTCCCTTTTTATTTCCTAACTTCAGTTCTTTACAGATTTCATTAAAATACTTTGTCCTGTTTTCTCAACTTTTTGTTTGATATCTTCTGCTCATGTTTTACTTCAGCATTTTTTTTTACCATTTGTGTTGGCCTCTTTAAGTTCCAGTGCAATTTTCAGAGTCTCTTCTGACATCCATTTTTGTCTTTTCTTTATCCCCCATCTAATGACCTTTTGCGTTCTTCATGGATGATGTCCTTGATGCCATCCCGTAATTCATCTGGTCCTCTGTCAAATGCATTCAGTGCGTCAAATCTATTAATATGGCTTTTAAATTCAGATGGACTAGATTCAAGGTTGTATTTTGGTTCTTGTGGACTTGTTTTCATTTTCTTCTACGTGAGTAGTTGATGGTTTGTTTCACAGTTAATGGTTGATCGTATTTGACAGCTGGTGTTGGGCTTCATGGACTCTTTCTGCAGATGTAGTCTAATTCTCGTGTAATCTATCAGGTGATGTTCATAACAATAGTCAGTATTTAAGAGACTTTTTAAAAACAAATCTATTCATAGTGAATAAATCATTGATTGTACAAAATTCTGTCAGTCAATCTCCAGCCTCGTTTCTGTCACCAAGGCCTCCATATATTTTTTTGTTT